CGATAACCGATCGGTCGGTGACCGGTTAGCCGTGGTTATTTCACGGTCGGTGGTCGGTAGTTAGGTGACGAGTCTCGGTTTAATCGATAATCGGTTTTTCGGTTTTCGGTTAAACCGAAACCGACCGGCTGCCACCCCTACTCGTCCCACTCCGCTGGCCCGCTTCTGTTCAGTAGGGATCAGCCCTGTCAATTTCCTAGGCTTATTGGATCCGCCCATCACAGCCTGATTTTTCCCCAATTTTTGTTTGGCACTTGGGTCTTTTTGAAGAGCCTGCTGCGACTGGGCCATCGGCCCATTATTTGATTTGAGGCCCGGACGAAGACGCTCAGCTTTCGCCTTGCCCTTCGGTTTGGAAGCAGGAGCAGTCTGACGTTGGGGGTCTTGCACCGCCGTCAGAGAACTCGGGCCTGACTGATGACTCGGCGGCCGCACCTCCTCTTCTCCGCTAGGCAAGATGGGCTGAACCACGAACTCATCTTCTGACTCGTCCTCGAGGATGAGGCGTCGGCGATAGGACGTATCATTGGTGCCCACCAAGGTCGAACAACCAGAGGATGGCGGCAGCTTACGCCGGGTCGCGTCATTTGCACGATGCTCCATAGCAGGAGCAGCATCCACAATCTGGTCAGCTCTTGATGATCTCCCATGCCTGCCACGGCGGCGCGGCGCCGGAATCGGGTCATGCCTCTCATCGATCTCCATCGGGCTGCCTACAGTAGCCGCCTTCCCTTTACCACGATGAATCTGCCTTCCCAAGGGGAATTTAGGGGCCTTAGGAATTGGGAAATGAAGGGGGCTTCTCCCCAATTTGGGTCGGTGTTCAGCCTGCTCCGTGGTGGCGAACGGATTATCCGAGGATCCCATCCACAGTGGGACATCATCCACAGTCCGATTCTTACTTGGCTGACTGTCTTGCCGCGCCTTGTTGGTGGATTAGTATAGGTGTCATTAGATATAAATAAACAGTTTGCACAGGTCTGAAGACAAGAATAATCAATATTAAGATTTGAACTCGGGTCTCTTTGAACCCTCCTCTCCTCCTCTCCTCTGCTAACATAGCCAATCAAGTCACTTTTTCTTTCCTATTTTCGAACTCAATCAAATCTTTCCCAGCTTTGTTCCCCACCTCCCAAAAACTCACATTTTCCCCAAATTACACAACCCACACAAGGCATTCTCATCATCGACATCAAAACTCACCCACAAACCAACTTGTTATCCTTGCCCCCAAAAAACATAAAGATAGAGACGACTAGATTGATTATGGTTCCTGCCTTGCTATCTCTCATGTTCTCTTTGATAAACCTTTCTTCTTATGACTCCATCATTGAGCTCTATCCTTCTACACCAACGCACGAGAAGCTCTACAGATTCCTCCCTTATGTCTTCCTTTTACATCTTACTCTCCATCTCTCCCTATTCCAATTTGAGAGTTGTTCACAAAGATCCTCGCAGCTCAAATCTAAGCTCTGTCTGTTCTTGCTAGAAAGGAGTCATATTTTGATCTCAACAGCTCAAATTATAGGCTTGTGATTGAATTGAATTGACATTTGACCAAGTTCTTTTGATGTTTTGTCCATAAATAGATCGAAAAGTGTGTTGAAGTTTTTGCCTAGGGATGGCTCTATAGCTTGCTTCTTCCTCAATATCTCCTTCACATGCTGAGGAGAGGAAGAAGATATCCAAGAGAGAGGGAAACGTATGTATTTTAGAAGAAGGTAGTGGTGAGCATATGAAGATGGAGAAGCGGAGGGGAGAGGTGAAGGCAAGTATAAAAATTGGTCACATAATTTTGGCATTTGTGCAAAATGATCATATAGGAATTGTTTTTATCAAAATGGCGGTACAATAATTCATGTTTGGTACCTTTCGTTAAGTCTTTTGACGGAAATTGTGATGGTGCAACCAGAATTTAATTATTATGGTTTAGATGCAACCGTAATTCGACTTATATAGTTTAATTGCAACAAAATCAAGTTAGGTGGTTAGTTTGCAACAAATCCTATATTTAAGTGGCAAGTGATGCATTTAATCCTGCATTATTAAGAACATGTGAATTGTGAATTTGTGATTGAGCTGGAAATACCTGCTAGTTTATATGTTCATGGCTGTCCGAGTTTGGAAGAGAATAAATTGTTCATAATGGATAAGTTTTGGAAGGATTTGCTTCCGATTTAAATTAACATCACAGTTTTTTGCACAGTTTGTGAAATCCCTTTGTTCATACAATGTAGAAAGCTTTGCAAACCCACTCGGCAATCATCACTGCAACAACTAAGTTCAATAGTAACTACCATGATTTCACTACTGCTATTCTAGGGTAAACTAATGCAGGCCGTAGAGATAGGTGAGCAAGTTGAGAGAAGGGAGAGTAGGATTTTGAGAGATTCTTTTCATAATATTTCCTTGATTAATTCTAATGTAAAACACAAAATACATATAACTAGAAAATAAACCGAAAAATTTAATAATAAACTAATAATATTCGACTACGGACTAGCCGCACAATCCTAATAATAAAATCACTAATACGAAATAACAATATTTCTAACCCTCGGAGGGGAGCAACCGCTTGACATTTGTAGTGGAATAATACTTATCTCAATGGAGTTTCAATCCAACCACTCAAACAAACTTCAGAAGAAGGTTGGAAGTCATCCATGGCATGATCTTCAGAGTCAAACGTTTGATATTCACGAGTATCCAACGAATAAAATATCACGCTCTGCTGCTTCGTGGACACTCTAGGAAAGTAGATCTTGTTTCCCATTCCGACAACCTCTTCCACACGGGAGAAACACGATGTCCTGCTGACAAACAACATGTGCGGTCCCAAACCCTCCTCTTCCAACCATCCTTTGCGTTCTTGATCGAATTTGTAAACTCGAACAAACTCGCCAAAGTCGCCCACCAATACCGCTAGGATTTCGCCTCCACACTCCACTAGATACTCCAACTCACAGTCGTCATCACAACTATCTTCAATCTGCTCACCAGCTATGTTCAGTAGCTTCCAATCGTACACATCCCACGTCCACGCAAACTCGCCCCCATCGTCGCGACCGTAGCTGAAAACACCCAGCCTCCTCGCCTTATCCAAGAAGTAGAACTTATTGTTGAGAGAAACCGGAGTGTTGTGGTAGCTCGGTTGGAACTCGTGCTCGTCGGGCGGTCGAAGGAAGAAATGCCAGCGCTGGTCTTCCAATCTCATGAAACTGAAGACGACATCCTTTCGAAGACCTTCCCACATTGCAATTACACAACATTCGGGAGAAGTAGGCGGCGCTGAGATCCCAAAGCTTGAAGGGCCAATGTAGGGTTTCATTTCGGGAACAGAGCGAGCTTCTTTCGTAAAAGGGTTGTAGAACGTAACGTGAAGCCTCACTGGTATATGCGGATCCAATTCCCGGTTCGGTATCGGCTTCAACATCGTCATGACCAACCAGCACTTCGTTGAGAACGCAACTTCTGCGCCCGAAAGAGATTCGTCGACCTGCTTCTCGTGCGTGTGGCCGTACATCAAGTCCTGGAAATTGAGGTCACCTTTGTACTGCTTGAAGTAGAAGAACCACGGATACAGTGGTGGCGGGAGAGGTATGGCTGATTTAAGCTTCCTGCAACAAGTTCGGAAGCTTCTACAGTCGATCAATTTCTTTGCTATGTCGGTGAAAATCTCCCGAGGAAGCTTCCATAGCAATGCCTCCTCCTCCTCCTTCTCCTCTTCTTCCTCATTCTCCTTCACCGCCCTCTTTGTTTCATTATGTACTTCAACTTGTACCGTCTCTCGGTCTATTTCACTAGTCTCAACACCAACCAAGCTGCAGTTCAGTAAAAAAAAAAAAACAAAGCAATAACAAATTGTTACTGTCCGAAATTAAACTGATATTGTACGAGCGATTTGGATCAACGATTTTGTCAAAACGATTAGAAGCATATTTACCTGCATCGAGGAGTAGTTCGGTGACCTGCTGGATAATTGATGAAAGCAACATCGAGTAGTGGTTCGTCGTCGTGGTCATCGTCGCTTGATGAAGCACATTTACACTGTAACGCCTGCCCTCTCTCGACGTCGAAAGCCAATAATTTCTGGTAATCGTTACTCTGGAAGAAGTAGATGCAATTGGGTTTGATCCCGTTGTTGTTGTTGCAGGAGCAGGAGCAGGAGAATGAATAGCTGTTGGGACTAATGAAGATTGCTCGTCCATCCAATGTGTTAACTCGTACCCAACTCATGGACGACCGGTCCAATTTATGAACCAGCACCCAATCCAGCTCGCAATCGCTGTGTTTGCGATGGCAGAGGATGATCCAGAGCAGCTCCCCGCCCGATTCGACCAGGTTCCAGTATCCCAATCTCTCGGTGTACCGCGGAATCATATCCGACGGATAGCTCTCGACTAGCAAGCTAGCTACGAGACTGTTGTTGTTGGTGGTGGTGGTGTTGTTGTCGTTGTTCGTTGTTATCTCGAGCAACTGGCTGTTCAATGTGAGGGCGTACAAGCTCTGGTTGCAGATCGCGAGACGGTAAAACGCAGCGAACTCTTCGGAGAAATTTTGCACGGACCACGTCTCGTCGCCTGGTTTGCAGTGCGCGAGTTGCGGGTTTATGTTATTGGCGATGACGACTCTGCAGTTGGGGTTGCTTGGTGGACAAGTAAGCTCGCCTCTCGCGAACCTGTCTCCGCCGGACGAGTTGTTCAGCGCGGGGAGCTCGATTGTTTCGAGCGTGACGGGGTTCAGCAGGGAGAAGGATGTAGCCGTGTCGTCGATTTCCCTTCGGAGGATTAACCAGCCGTACTGTGAGTGGCCGATAATGTGACTGTCGACGAACTGCGGGATCCGACAACGGTGGATTTGCTTAGGATTCGAGATCGAGTAGAAAACTTGCCTCTGGCCGTGGAAAAGAACGAGCCAAGGTTCATCATCATCTCCGGTGGATGAGCGGCCTTCTTCTCCGATCATGATTCGATTTCTCTGTCAGAATGCTATGAAAGAAAGCTACGGCATAGAGGTGTGTATTTATAAGAAGTTAAAACCATCCGTCCCTCAGGCGACAAAAGGAAAAAAAAACAGAATCCTTGTTTTGTTTTGTTCTTCTTTCCTTTTTCCTTGCGGAAACTGGATTGCAGCGGGCCGGAAATGAGCCATGGAGAAGAAATTTAATATTGGGCTCGGCGAAGCAGTAATTTGCTATACACGGGAGCCCAATAATATTATAGGAAGTTGGGCCCCGAACTGCCCACATCTCTACAACAAAGCCCATCTACTCTCTTTCAAAATTAACCCTCCACAAAAAAAAAAAAAAAAGGTAAAAAATTCAAGACACGTGTACGGTGCAATCTCTCCTCCGCTCCCCATGTCTCCTCCCTCTCTTGACCCCAACCGAACCCATCTTCTCCATTGCCACAGCGAACCACTCAAAGAACCTCTCCTTATCCTTCCCCAGCAACCGAACCACCGGTCCGGTCCGCGGGTCAAGAGCCAAACCCTGGTCCGAAGCCAGCAACCCCAATTTCCCTTCCAGGTTCCCGTAATAAGCATGGTCGAACAAAAACGGCGTCGTAACGTCGAACGGCGCCACCACGCCAGCTCCGCCGCCGAATTGCGGGCACGACATCCGCAGCGCCTTCAGCAGCCTCGGGTCCATTTCCGGGTCAGGTCTCTTCGTCCCCCTGTAGTTATACAGCCGGCCGACGAATTGCTTGCAGTGGGCGAACCCAATTGTGTGCGCACCCGAGAGGACCACCATGTCTTGCAGCGACAGCCCTTTGGAGGCGAAGAGGTTGAGAAGCTCGTCGACGGTGGAATTCGCGCGTGGGATGTTGTTTGCCACTGTTGTTGATTTCGAAAATTTCCCGTCCCATCTTCCCTTCTTCACTTGGTAGTACGGCCCACCTGCCTGAAAACCCAATTACAATTAGTCGCCGGAATTGAAGATGAAATTGTTAGGGAAAAGTTGGGGGAGCAGAGGATTATACTAAATGGACGAAGTCTCTGGCGGCAATGGCAAGAATGTCGGAGCAAGAGACGGCGCCGGGGCATTTGCTTTCGACGAGGGCCTTGGCCTTGTGAACGGTGTCGAATCCCTCTGTTCTCAAGTCCTTGTTGTCCTCTGCTTCCTTCTCTGCCAATTCTCTGCTTCCGGGCTTCGTCGATATCAGTATCGAAGCATCGCAGCCCTGGATTACAATGCCCCAGGTTGTTTTTTCGTTGAAAGCAAATAAGTTTCACAAAATTGGGAGGAATGGAAAAGAACCCATTTTGCGGGAGGTTGTTTTTTTTTTTTTTATGATTTTACCTCGACGAAGCAGTCATGGAAGAAGAGGCGGATGGTGGCGGGGCCGGAGACAGGGGACTCCTTGAACTGCTGTGAAGTGACGGAGGCGACGAGCTGGTCAAGGTTTGGACACGACTTGGCGTAGTAATTGACAGAGAGCTGGCGCGGCGGCCGGCGAGCGGGGGTGGGATTGTTGGCCGACGAGGGAATGATGAGAAGGGAAATGCAGAGGAGCGAAATGGAGAGGGCGTGGAGCCGAGAACGTGCAAGGATTTGCATGGTGTTTTTGTTTTGGATATGGGTAATGTACATTGATTGATTGGTCTATGGAAGCAGAGGACAAAGGAAAGATTGGGGAATGTATAATGAGACCCAAGAAGAAGAAGAAGAAAATGAACACTCTGGGCCTCTGGCTATCTACTCTGAGTGGAGGATTATGTCGACCATAGAGAACAGAGAGATAGCCTTTTCTAGTCTTCTAGCATATCATGCAGCTATGTTGGTTGGTGGAAAAGAAAGCTGATGGGTTGTATGAGAAGAGGAGAATCAAAATCAAGCTCCCGTGAAAAGCCCAAATCTTTGAGGATAAAAACCCCCCCTTCTGTCTCTTCTTATTCTCGCGACTAGAGGTGGGGAATATGTTTGCGGTGGTGGGGGATCATACTGAATTAGTATAAGATTCGATTGAGAGTGACAATTTCGATTTGAGCAATCTGATTTGATCTAACAGCAATTGTTCTTTCCCTTGGGGTCCGTAGAAGGTTTGATGGTGAGCTGATACCAAAATGAAGCGAGCAAAAACAGAGGCAGACGAAAACAGGGGAAACGACTAATAACTAATAAGATATGGAGATGATGGGCTAATATGACTAAGAATGAGATAATGATCATTTTATGGTTGTTCCACTTGAAGGAATGGGAACAAGAAAGACTAGGCAATTATGGAGTCAATCATGTTCACGGGCGGATTGGGAAATGGAATCCAGTTTAATCATTCATCGTTAACTACCAAAATTTGTCGTTAATCCATATGACAAAACCCTAAAGAACTTATCTTGACAGCCAATCCACTTTTAATTGAAAGAAATGAATGGGGAATTACAACCTTTTAGAATAAGTTACATATTAGATCTAGAATATGAATTCAATTGTCTCGGAAAAAAAAAATATTTTAGATCAAACAATCTAATCAGTTTAAGTATTGAGCATTCTAGATACTTGAAAGATTGTGGGAAAGAGTTTTGACTAAAACTTGATAGTCTTATTGAATTATAATTTTGATTTCATATTCTAGTGCTAATTTTAGATCTTTCAAAAGAGCTTTTGCTACGGCTTTAAGTGGATAGAAGTAATGAAAGCATGAGAGACATTAGCAGAAGCATGGTGGGTGAGGATGGTTTGTCATTTGTGAATTGGTTCAAAACTCTCCTTCTGCCATTGCCAAACCAGAGACAGACAAAGCCACAAAGGTCCTTTAATGGCCACCACGTGCATTCCCTTCTTCCTTCTCCTCCAAATGACCTAAACCGCAAAAAGTATGGGGGGGAATAAGGAAGAGATTCTGAACCTTTTGTTGGTTTGCCTAATGTACAGAAAACCTCAGCATCAGAAACTTGTTTGTTTCTGGTTATCAGATATATGCTCAATAATATAGTGAAATGTGTGGTCTTATCACCATTTCTTAAACTATTAAAGGGTCTTGTTGGTTAGTATTGTTCAAATGTTGGTGTTAGTGAATGTTATGTGATCAATAATTGAATTTCCCTTAATAATTCGAGTTAGTGGGATTAACTGGTTTTCGACAAGATATCAGAATATTTTGTAATTGAGAGTTTTTTTGTTCGAATCCTAATGACCTTATATGTTATGTTAAGCACATAATATCCGGACTTGTGCAATAGTTAAACTCATATAAGTCGGCTTCTCGTTTGTGGGATCAACTTAACAGTTGGGACTTGGCTTAAAAGTTAGAACCAATTGACCAGAACCAATTGGTTTGCAGCATAACACACCAACAAAGAAGAACATGGAGCTAGTATAAAGTCACATGTACGGTGTACCTAATGGTAACCCTAATGAATAAATTAGTGGTGAACTTCAGAGTTAGGTAAGTTAAACCTTTACCATAGAATCAGCCCACAGAAATCTTCAACGACAAAAAGGTTCCAGTTTTTCAGTTGGTGCAAGAAAGAGTGGAGAAAGGTTTGCCATTTATGCGAGTGCAGTAAAAGCTGCATTGGGACCATCCTTTTTAGTTATTGCTCTTCACTTCTTCTGGTCTGCAAGCTTTTAATGTTCAGCATTTGATAGATTGGGTGCCACTGCCACCACATAATTTATGACACGAAAATTGCTGTTGTTTTCTCAGTTTTAGAGACCACTGGGAGAGTGATGGATGGTGGGTTCTGGAAACGATTAGTTTTGATGTCAACCTTTGACTCTGCAATCCAATATCAATATGGGAGACTACAGAATTTCGTTTGTTTTGTTGCTACAATTTGATGGAATGGTCTCTTCTTTATAAACGTCAACATTTGATCTTCTAGAATTGTGCCTAAACTGCTCTTATTGTTACCCTTGAGTGAAAATGTAGGCAACAAATGTAAACTTCATAGACAACTCTCATGTGAACATTAGTTTTGTTAGTTTAATTTATTGTGTATTGTTGTTACTGAGCTTTATATTTTGCTGGAAAAACATAGTGTCAAACTCTAATTTGAAAGACATAAAATTGATCATTGAAGTCACTTATCCAGACAACCAAATGTTGTCGTATTGGGCTACAAAAATCAGTTATAACTTATAAAGTGTAATGAAATGTATTTGGATGAGTTGATACAAAGTGTAATGAAATAAGGAAAATTTTCAAGCTATAGACTAATTTCAAATGCATTTTATTAGAAATTATAATTTTATAAATATAAAATGTGATTTTGGGCTACCAACATCAATTATAAGTCCACAAAATTTCTTCATTTATTTATATTACACATCTCATGACTCAGAGTCTATAATCATTTATTTTTAAAAGTGAGAGAAAGAACATATTTTGATGAGTTAATAAAAAGTGTAATGAAACAAGGAAAATTTTCAAACATTGACATATTGGGCTACCAACATCAGTTATATGTCTATGAAATTTCTTCGTTTACTTAAATTATACATCTCATAGTCTATCATCATTTATTTAGAAAAGTGAAATTAAGAATATATTTTGATGAGTTGATAATAAGTGTAATGAAATAAGGAAATTTTTCAAGCTAGAGACTAATTTGAAATGAAATGCATTTTATTAGAAAGTATATAATTTTATAAATATAAAATGTGATATTGGGCTACCAACATCAATTATAAGTCCACAAAATTTCTTCATTTATTTATATTATACATCTCTGCACTCAGAGTCTATAATCATTTATTTTTAAAAGGGAGAGAAAGAACATATTTTGATGAGTTAATAAAAAGTGTAATGAAACAAGGAAAATTTTCAAACATTGACATATTGGGCTACCAACATCATTTATATGTCTATGAAATTTCTTCGTTTACTTAAATTATACATCTCATATTCTATCATCATTTATTTAGAAAAGTGAAATTAAGAATATATTTTGATAAGTTGATAATAAGTGTAATTAAATAAGAAAAATTTTCAAGCTAGAGACTAATTTGAAATGAAATACATTTTATTAGAAAGTATATAATTTTATAAATTATAAATGTAAAAGATATGGTCTCAGCGGGGCTCGAACCCGCGATTTTCGGCTCATAAGACCAACGCTCTAACCAACTAAGCTACGAGACCAACGAGAATTTAAAGCGTAATTTTTTTTAATAATTTTTTTTGTGAAAAGTTTTCTTGTTTTTTAACTCAACATAAAGATAATTATGCATTGCACATATACAATATCTTTATTTACTAATTTAAGGGAGACTGTAGAATTTCGTTTGTTTTTGGTTACTACAAATTTGAATGAATGTATGATCGTGCAAGGTTACTTGAAGGTGGTGGTTCGTCTTAGTGAGGGCGTACTGGCTGATTCGATATAATGGTCTCTTCTCTATAAACGTCAACGTTTGATCTTCTAGAATAGTGCGTAAATTGCGGTTATTGTTACCCTTGAGTGAAAATGTAAGGCAAAAAATGTAAACTTCATGGACAACTCTCATGTGAACTTTAGTTTTGTTCGTTTAATTTATTGTGTATTGTTGTTACTGAGATTTATATTTTGCTAGAAAAACATAGCGTCAAACTCTAATTTTATATGTGAAAAGACATAAAATTGATCAATGAAGTCACTTATCCAGACAACCAAATATTTTCATATTGGGCTACAAAAATTGGGATTTTTCCAGAAATAGCACCTTTTAAAAAAAATTACAAAAATAGCACCCAGTCGAAAAAATGTACACTAATAGCACCCTTTTTTATGGACCGCACCTTAGAGGTGCGTTTTATTTATAAACCGCACCTTTAGGGCGCGTTTTAAAATCCTGGACCAAAACCGCATCTTGGCCAAGCGGTTTTAGGTCTGACCTACAGAAACCGCTTGGTCGAGGTGCGATTTTAGGTCTGACCTACTTAACCGCACCATAAAACTGCGGTTTGCTTCTCCCAAACAAAACCGCATCTTTATGGTGCGGTTTTGGTCAATTATTTCCGACATGCCATGCAGAACAACAGACGTGGGTCTGCATGGGCATGCATGGCAGACGAAGGTGCGGTTTTCATGAGTTATTTTGCCTATAAAAGGCTTCCCGGAAAACCATTTCTCTTCACACCTCTCCTTCTCCCTTTTCAATTTTCTGTTGTAGCTCTATATTTCTTTAGTAGTTTTGCGATTATCGTTAACTCGTAAGTTATTTTGTATTACGTTTTAGTGTTATTTTTTATTTTTGATTTTTATGATATTAACTGAACTACGGTTTTTTCGCAGATGGCATTCCAAAAGTTCACGCTAGGCTTACGGTGAAATGGTTACACGGAAGAGACCGGAAAGGGGGTCACCTACGTCGGTGGCAATTTTCAGAAGATACAGGTCGCTACCAGACCGCTGCTTGAAGACCTCCATCAAATGTGCACTAACGTTACTTGCATGGATGGCACGAGAAGAGTTGATCAGATGGTGTACCGATATCCAAACAGAGAAAGTGGGTCATTGTGGCATGAGGAATATCTCTTAACCACTCAGGATGAGGTAGATGCCATGCTCGAATTCTTGAGGTCCAACAATCTTTCCAAAGCCGAGATGTTCGTTCACACCGAGCCGGTCGTAGGCGTTGGAGGTCATTCTTACACGGTCAAACATCTAGTATACGTGATGGAGGTGAATTATATGGCGATCATCCCTACCAAAGTTACCATGATCCACATTCCTATTTTCAGTACCACGAGCAAGGTGAAAGTCATCATCAATCTTTCCCGTCATATGAAGAAGATGTTCAATCGGACCTCCCCAACCAACCTCAGTACAACTTCCATTCAGGCAGCGGTAGTTTTCACAACTACCATTATGGAGCTGATGAAGGTGCCTTTCATGAGCTGGATCAGATGGAGGATGTTCTGCCAGCACCAGTCAGTGACCCCTCCGATGAAGAAGGAGAGAACAACTAGGGGTGGGAATCGGTCGGTAAACGGTAAACCGTTTACCGAATTTACCGGTTTCGGTATACCGATGGTGGCCAAACTGTTTACCGTTTACCGATACCGGTTTACTGATTACCGAATTACCGGTAAACGGTTA